TATAAATCATGTTTTCTAATATTCAGGGTCTTTTAAATTTGGGGGTTTTGTTTTGTTATTTTCCCCCATCCTTTAAGTCAAGGTCTCAGTCTGTAGGCCAAGCTGGCCTTGAATTCCTGAGACATCCTCTTGCCTGAGGCTCCTGGGTGCTGGGATACAGCTGTGTGCCACCATATCTTTGCAGCTCTTTATAAGGTAATTGATACAGAAGATCAAAAGAGGCAGTTATCAAGGGCAGGTAGAGTAGTTAGGGAAGTCTTTATTTTATATTCAGATTTATCATCCTTTTCCTTTACAAATTTAGTATTTCTCTGGGAGATTTTTTGGAAAGGGGCTCAGGTAGCCCAGGCTAGCTTCAAACTCCATGTGTAACTGAAGATGGCCTTGAACTCCAGATCTCCTGTCTGTTTCCTGAGTGTTGGGCATTATAGGAATACCTCAAGCCCGGCTTTTGCATTTTTAGCTTTTTAAAATTTATTTTTATTTTATGTGTATGAGTGTCATATATATATGTATATATACACACCTGTGTCATACAGTGCCCGCAGAAGCCAGAAGAAGGTGTCAGATCCCCTGGAACTGGAGTTTTGTTAGGGTGCTTGGATTCAAACCCCGGTCTTCTGTAAGAGCAGCCAGTGTGCTCTCTTTTTTTTTGGTCTTTTAGAGACAGGGTCTCCCTGTAGCCCCAGCTGGCCTGGAACTCACTATGTAGATCAGGGTGGCCTTGAATTCACAGCGATCCCCCCACCTCTGCCTCCCAAGTCCTGGGATCAAGGATGTGCACCACTGTGCATGGCTTCACCCTTGCATTTCTTACCTGAGTCACTTTTTTCTTACTTCAAGAGCCTGGTTTCCTTCTAAAGATTTAATTATGTGTTATGTAGTAAGTCAAGCCTCTGTCCCAGTTGGAATTTCTTGCCTTTTTTTTTGCCCCGGGGGGGGCACTTTTTTGAGACAGAGTCTCCCAGTGTCCCCAGCTGAGCTGGAACTCACTGTGTTTACCAGACTGGCTTCAAGCTCATAGAGATATGCCTGCCCCTGCCCCTGCCCCTGCCCCTGCCCCTGCCTAGTGCTGGGATTTAAAGGCATGAGCTGCCATGCCCAACTCTGAAATTTATTTCTGTAGTTGATTCTGAAATAGGGATCAGCCTTCAATTATGGAGGTCTTGCTAGAATGAGACCATGAGAACCAAGGAAGAGGAGAGAAATCTGTTCCCGTTTACAGGAAGGATCGCATCCCAATCCGTCTTACTGGAGGTTGGGAAGAAGACCAGCCCAATTACAGCAGTACTTCTCTTTAGAACCGTTAAACATTTCTGCTGAAGGTATAATCTTAGGTATGCTTACACGTTTCTTGGTGAATGCTACCAAAGCAAGTTCAGTAGAAATTGCAATTAAAGTAAATATTTACTTATTTTAAATGGTTTAGGTGCCAAACCAAGCACAGCAATTGACTGGATTAAATGATCTTTGTCTCTGTGTCTGTCTCTCTCATTCTCCATAGTAGTAAGAGTCAAACACAGGGCCTTGTACTACCACCCATGGCTACATTATTACATTTTTAAATTATATTTTGCATGCATGTCTGTGTGGAGGGTGTGTGTGCACTTCATAGCACTCATATAGGTCAGAGGACAACTTTCAGGGGTTGGCTCTTGCCCTCCACCTTGTTGAGGTGGGTTTTTTTGTTTCTAGTGGGCTATGTTTCCTAGACCAGCTGGCCCACAGGCTTCCTATCTTGTTGGAGGAGTGCTGGGATTACAAATGTGTGCTGCTATGTCCAACTGTTTACTATGTTGGAACTCAGGTTATCAGGCCTGCACGGTTCTCCCCTTCCCTGGAACAGAGTATAGATGTTTGTCTGCAGGGCAGCTTAGATACTGTAAACCAGTGACTGAGTGTGTAGTTAGAAAGACAGCTTCTTTTCCAATGTACATTAAAAACCAAAAGTCAATAAAGAAACAGGAAGAAATAACCATGTAGGCTGGACTGCTATGGCAGATATGCAGGCTCCACTTGTGCCCCCATTACTTGCATATGTCTTGATGCCTGTCACACAAATTCTGGTTGTTTTGTTTTTCTGTTTGGTCTTTTGAGACAGGGTCTCCCTGTAGCCACAGCTGGTCTGGAACTCACCATTTAGACCAGGCTGGCCTTGATCTCACAGAGATACACCTGCCTCTGCCTCCCGAGTGCTGGGATTAAAGGCATGCGCTACCATGTCTGGCATGTTTTGTGTGTGTGTGTGTGTGTGTGTGTGTGTGTGTGTGTGTGTTTTTTTATGTGTATGAGTATATTCACTGTATGTAAGTGCACCGTGTAATAAAATGTCGATTACAGCAAGAAGAGGATGTGGATATAGAGACGACTTTCAGGGGTTGGCTCTTGCCCTCCACCTTGAAACCAGGGTGTGTGTGTGTGTGTGTATTTTTATGTGTATGAGTATATTGCCTGCATGTAAGTGCACCGTGTAATACAATGTCCATTGAAGTCAGAAGAGGAACTGGAGTTACAGATAGTTGTTAGCCACCATGTGGTTGCTGGGAACTGAACCCAGGTTCTCTGCAAGAGTATCCAGTGCTCTTAACCACCAAGCCATCTCTCCAACCCAGTGTTTTTATATTTTAACCATTAAATACGAGGGTCTTAATCAAACAGCACAGCATCTGACCCAAATCCGTCTCCATCTGATAGATAGGAGAAAAGCCTTCCTAGCACATGTTATAAGCAAGCCATCAACACTTAAGAGATTCAGATCAAGCGGCCTCAGCAGCACGGCCTTGTAATTCCAGCTACTCAGTAGACTGAGGCAGGAGGCTGCCAAGCTCAAGGCCTGTCTGGGCTACACAGAAAGACCCTATCTCAAAACAACAAACCAGGGCTGGAGAGATGGCTCAGCATTTAAGAACACTGGTTGTTCTTGCAGAAGACCTGGGTTTAAATCCCAGCATCCACATGGCAGCTAACAACTGTCCATAACTCCAGTCCCAAGGGATCCGACAGCCTCTCTGACCTCCTTGGGCATTGCACGACATGGGTGCAGTTACCTACATGCAGCCAATACACGCATACACATAAAATAAAAATAATATATAAAAAAAATTTTTTTAAAAAGGTGCAAAAAAAAAAAAAAAAAACCAATGCCAGGCATGGTGGTGCATGCCTGTGGTCCCAGCACTTGGGAGGCAGAGGCAGGGGGGTCTCCGTGAGATCTAGGCCAGTCTGGTCCACACAGTGAGTTCCAGGCCAACTGGAGCTACAGGGAGACCCTGTTTGAAAACGACCAAAAAAAAACCAAAAACAAGCAAAGTCTGGGGGTGTTCAGTGGCTGGGCACTTGCCTGGCATGCACATGACCCTGGTTTCAATCTCTGGTACTGCTTGGATTTTTTTTTTCTTGTGCATCTTTTAATATTTCTTTGCTTTGTACTTCTGATTTCTCAACGATAACATGTCACAGAGAGGCTCTTGCCTATCTGGGGTTCTGAATGCCTCCTGGGATTAGATACCCAGTTTTTTCTCAGGATTTGGGAAATGTGCTGCAATTTCATCAAATAGATTCTCTTCTCTATGCCATTAATTTTTAACCTCAGCTGCTGCTTCTATCCTGTGGATTCTTTTTGTTTTTATGTTTACTTATTTTTTATTTGGGTGTGGAGTACATGCCTGAGCATGTCTGCAGAGGTCAGAAAACAACTTGCAAGTTTGTTTTCTCCTTCCACCATGTGGGATCTGAGGAACAAACTCAGGCTATCAGGTTTGGCAGCAGACCCCTAACCCCGGATATATGATTTGTCAGCTTCCTTCCGTCTCTGGTATTCTTCCTTTTACCTGCTCAAGTCTATTCCACTGTGCTTTTCTCCTGGATTTTTTGTTTGGTTTTTGTATGTGTGTTTTGGGACTGAGTGTCATGTAGCTGAGGCTGGCATTGAACTCACTCCTGATCCTTTCACTTCTACCTCCAAAGTGCTGGGATTATAGGTATGCACCACCATACACAGCTTTCTTAGAGAGAGGGGGGGGGAGGAGAGTATGTGTTCATATACACGTGTATGCATGCATGTGTATGGAGAGAGAGAGAGAGAGGGAGAGAGGGAGAGGGAGGAGAGTATGTGTTCATATACACGTGTATGCATGCATGTGTATGGAGACCAGAGATCAACCTTGGGCTGTCTACTTAGCCCCTCTCCTTTGTATTTTTTTTTTTGAGGCAGGGTCTTGCTATAGGCCCATCTAGCCTGATAATTTGTTCTACAGTCTAGGCACCTTGAGTTCAAGCTCCCTGACTTGTGACTGTTCCCCGTTTTCCAGGGTAGCTCAGTTTTAAGCCATATTTCCTGTCAAATGGAGCCTGACCATAGACCTCTGAGCTGGGGGTACTTCTCTCCACTGCTGACCTGTCCACCTGGAGAAGCCACTGTGCCTGGATTTGAGGGCTGTGAGAGCTGAGTCCTGTCCTGTGGGCAGGACTGCCAGTCCCTGTTCTTTTAAATGAGGCTTCTGCTTCACCTCTGCCCACCGGGAGCCACACAGCTTGGCTTTCTTCTCCATGCATCACCCTTCTGTTTCTTGGCACTGTTCAGCTGTCCAGTTGCTCCTTTTGTGGACTTCAAAGCTCTTCTCTTTGGGTTGAGTCTACTTTTCTTTACACTGTCTCTTCTCCTTCATTAGGACACACAGATGCAGCCTCTAGTCTGCCATTTTACCCAGAAGTAAGCTTGCTATGTATGTATTTTTTTAAAAATTTACTTTTATGCATATGTGAGTGTGCCTGATTGTCTATATATGCACCATGTGCATGCAGGTGCCTGCAGAGACCAGAGGGGGGCTTCAGATTCTCTGAAGCTGGAGTTACAGGATGTTATGAACCACTTGAAGTGGGTACCGGGAACCAAGCCCAGATCTCTGCCAGAGCAGCAAGTGCTCTTAACCACTGAGCCATCTCTCCAGCCACCACATTTCTTATATTGTAACTGTGACTTTTTTTCACACTCTTTTCAGTGTACGGAAGCATCCTCGAACCAAAGAAATACACATTACCTCTTCTGTCTTCAAAGTTAAAGCCTATGTAAGTCATTTGTAACCAAAGAACTTATTGTTTTGTTGTTTCTGTTTAGTTTTCTTTGAAACAGGGTTTGCTCCCTGTAGCCCCAACTAGTCTGAAACTCACCTCAGAGACAGGCCTGGCCTTGATCTCATAGTGAACCACTTGCCTCTGCCTCCTGAGTCCTGGGTTTATAAAGGTGTGCACTACCAATCCATCCTAGGAATGGATTTATTACAACTAGAGTTAGCAATTAGGACACTGTTTTGACTGAAAAAAAAACATGATGATGTTAAGTATTTTATACAATTAATAGTTGAGGGGTGGGCATGATGGTGCACACCTTTAATCCCAGCACTTGGGAGGCAGAGGCAGGCGGATCTCGGGGAGTTTGAAGCCAGCCTGG